CATCAATTGACTTCAAGAGACAATTGAATTCTAATTTTTATTCAAAATAATTTTTCAGAATCAGCTAAAAAATAGTTTCAGTCCCGACCCCGTAAAAAAATAATTTTTGGTCCCGAAATTGGTTCTGCGGGACCGGCATCAGTTTGCAGTTCCCTAATTATAATTCTTTCTTTGCAACGGAAGAATCGTAGCTAGAAAGTAAAGAACATAGTTAATGAATTACAAAACTCTTATGGTTTAACAATCAAATTAATCTTATTCGATGCAGAATCTTGTACATTTGAGCTATTGCTGTAATTGTTAAATTCTGCTATCATTTTATAAAGGTAGAGTCGTTAGCAAAACAAACTTCCGAAATATAATCGTAATTGGAAGTATATGACGATGTTATAGCAAACTATTGTTTTGTTTTAATTATCATTGTCAATCAGCATTCGACTGGTTTTATATTTGGTGTTAACGAATTATTCTATGATTTTTGTTGATTATTTTAATGTAGTAAATAATAATTTCGATGTCTTCATTTCTCTATCGACTTGAGGGAAATGATAAAGATGATAGCTTAGAAGAGTCTATATTATTCAATTAACAGAAAATAATTTGCCTGAATTTGAACGTCCATCAACAAAAAAAAATAGTAGAGAATTTCTTCTGAAATAAGTTAACGAATAAATTTTGACAGAAACAGGAAATACGTTAAAATCCGATTACAGAAATTCAAAAAAATGATTTATATATAGAGTATAGTTCAGATAAAAGATGAGCGAAAATGAGATTCATAATTAGGATTTAAATCAATCGGTTTACAGTTTATTCAAACAGATATGTCACAAATCTCTATCATATATCACCTGCCCCAGGTGAATAAAGTACGGTCAGAATCCAGTGATTGTATTCGATGGTCAGATTTTTCAAGTTCTTACCATTTACCGATCAGAAACAGCAGACATCAGCATATATTAAAAGTTGTTAGTATAATTCCTGCGGAATTAAAATGTGAAACACGATGTAGTTGCTATGACTAATCACAGGGGGATTCTTTACAAAAGCAACTAGTATATTATAACGAGACATTACAACGTCTATGATGAAGGAGAGGCATTATTAAGGTTTGCTTGAATTTCTTTGTTGCTAATTTTTGAGATTTCTGTTGCAAATTTTGAACATTGTTGACTTATATTTATTTCATTAGAAAAAAGAAACAAATACCATTAAAAAAAATCTTTTACATAATTATTTTAAAAAATGCCAAATTCCCTTTAATTTAAGTAATAATTGCAAGACGATAGGATTTACTATATATAATAAAATGAGATAATTAAGACCATGTTTCCCATTCATCATCAAATTCATTATCTGTTTTGTTCGATGTTGTTGTGACTAGAAATGCTGAATTTTCACATGGAATTGTATTAATATTAGACGTAGGAAGATTTGTTTCATCAAACTCTCTATTTTCTTTTGTTTTACATGTTGAGATTTTCGATGTTGATTCATCATCTATAACAAGCAAAAAAAAAATATTGTTTAATGTTTGAAAAAAAAATTATTTATTACTAAGTTCATCCCAATCATTTTCATTATTTTCATTACATATTTCATGTGCACGTTTTAATAAATTTAATCGTCGTGTTTCTTCGTCATCAAATTTATATAAATGATAATAATATCGAGACCAAAAATCATTATGAGTTGTACATGTAGGTACAAAACGTGCATAATATGAACGTATATGTGGAATATTAATTAATAATTGTGCTATTTCATCTTTATATTTATTTGTATTAAAATTCATTTTTTCACACCAATTTTGATAAGATTCAATTGGTATTGGATCAATTAAATAAGTTGATTTATCATTTTGTATTCGAATTCGTTCATTCTAAAATTTATATTGATTTGTGAAGATTCACATATTAATTGAAGTACTATATGTTGACTGTATGTAATCACTATTGCTTCAGTCAACAAAGAAAAAGATTAAAACGATTTATCAAGTGTCTATAAAATTGAATTATTTTAGAATTTTTCTAATCTCATAGAAACCCATTCGTAGCTGAATAATATTCAATATTTCGAGATGTTTTCTTGTAAAAGAGATAGATATAAATTTGAATAATCAAGAAACTATGAATACTTTTTGAGCCGTACGTTGAATGATCTGATGAAGAAACCACTCTAACTTATAGCTACCGTTTGAGTTTACATCAAAATGGCAAGGATATCTTGGTGAGACTAGCAAAAATCTAAAGAAGTTTATTTCCATGATCGAATTAGGATCGTTTTACTGAATTTTCGAGCCAGCTTTAGATAGATAAAGAAAAATAAAAAAAAAAACGGAATTTTAATCTAAAATTCTGACACACACAGGACAGATAAATATCGAATAGTAGCATAAAATTTTTCATGAGGCTCACTTTCCACTACAAACAGTATCTACTATCCGTCAGAAAATAGAAAGCGAGTGATTGCGAGTTGAATAACTCGGGAACGGAAGAG